GTTGTGCTGCTGAAAAGTTATGAACTACGAATGAAAAATTTTACAAGATAAAGATATATAAAACGTGTCAATCTACTGTCCCACATCTCATGCCAGCCCATGTTTTCAATACAAACAGACGATTCCGAGTAATTCAAAAAAAAAAAATTTGCAACATCATTAGGAAATGAAAGTGAAGATAAATTTTTTGCTAAGTTTCTCAATTCCAAGTTTCCATTGCTTACATGCAACAAACAGACGATGTTTTGCTTCACTGTTTAAGTAGTTATGAAACTTCGGACTATAAGCAAACATGGGAAATATATTGTTACTAATCAATCTTTCCTTTGCAGGTTGAGGCAAAGAAGGCAGTTCCTAGGGAGGATCAGAGCACTCTGATAAAAAATAGTAGCAGCATTAATGGCTCACCTGGTCCTGCCCGAACAAAGAAGATATTTGTAGGAGGTTTAGCATCTACTGTTACAGATAGTGACTTTAAGAAGTACTTTGATCAGTTTGGAGTGATTATAGATGTGGTGGTTATGTATGATCACAACACTCAAAGGCCAAGAGGTTTTGGATTCATCACCTATGATTCAGAGGAAGCGGTTGATAGAGTATTGCACAAAACCTTTCATGAACTCAACGGTAAAATGGTTGAGGTCAAGCGGGCTGTCCCAAAGGAATTATCCCCAGGGCCAACACGGAACCAGTTAGGAGGACTTAACTATAGTCCAAGTAGAGTCAGTAGCTTCCTCAATGGTTATACTCAGGGACATAACCAAAGTTCTGTTGGAGGGTATGGAGTTAGAATGGATGGTAGGTTTAGTTCTGTTAATGTTGGACGGAATAACTTTTCTCCATTTGGTACTGGTTATGGGATGGGATTGAATTTTGAGCAGGTTTTGAACCCAAGTTATGGGGGAAATTCAAACCTTAATTCTAATGCTGGCTATGGACGAGTCAGCCCTTCATATAGTGGAAATGCAAGCAGGTATGGCAACCCCATAGGGTTTAGTGTAGGCAATGGAGGAAGTAGTTCTGTCTTAAATTCAACAGCCCACACATTATGGGGAAATGGAAGTAGTAATCATGCTTCAAGCGCCAACAACTCCAGTACTTTTATGGGTTCTGGAACTGGAAACTCAGGAATGGGTTCTTTTGGAGGTATTGGAGCGCTTTGGGGCTCCTCTGCTAATTCCGGGCAAGGTGGAGGAGTTGGCTCTGTCAATAGCAGTAGCAATCTAGGCTTTGGCAGTGGAGATTTTGATATTGATCTAGGAGGTGTAGGTTATGGAAGAAACAGTAGGACAGGTGTTGCCCTGACATCATCTCATGTTGCATCCAATGGTGGTTATGAAGGGGCTTATGCAGACTTTTATGAAAAGGGCTCATTATATGGGGATTCCACCTGGCAATCTTCACCTTCAGAGCCAGAAGTGTCAGGCTCATTTGGTTTTGGGCTTGGAACTGCAGCTTCTGATGTTATGACTAAAAATTCTGCTGGTTATGTTGGTGGTTATGGTGTTGCTAATAGACAATCAACTAGAGGTAGGTATTCTTTCCCCCCATGTTTATGCTGATTCTTCTCTGATAATCAATGCTGCCTTTCCTCATGTAACATTCATTTTATATTCCTATCAAAGCTTTCATAACTCAGAAGAACACAACTGTCAATGGGCGAAACTGCAGAATATAATGAGAATAGTCTCTCTTTGTGGATTTCCCCATTGCGAGTCCGTAGTATTACTCCAACTGTCCAACATTTTGTGCCGATTCCGCAAATTATTGGACCTGATTGTCTAAGCTCCTTTATTTTTTATCACCTAGTTGTTGCTTTCATCCTAGTACATGTAATCTTGCAAAATCTTACACGCCATCATCACCATTCTCTCTGGTGCTGACATGATCCTGTTGATTTTCATGCGTTTCAGGAATTGCCGCATAGGGTGATTATGATATAGGTGAGGTAATCTGGTGAAGTGAATTTCATACATGTTTCTTGTCCAGATGTTCCATTCCATAAAGGAAACATGATTCAAGCAAACTGGTTCGTGTTTTCATCATAGAGAGCAGTCCAAGGAAATCTGTGTATGGTTTGAGCTTTTTAGATTTTTCTAATATAGGTCTTTCCTTTCTTGAAATTTGATTAAGATGTAAAAAATAACGCTGTGGGGTATACTCAAAATGATTGTACGATGCATCATCTTTCGTGACACTGATATATATATATATATATAAAATCGCTGCTCCTCACGTTGTGGGGTCACTAATATTGCGTGTCAATAAATCATAACTATGAAGAAGAAAAAAAAATAGAAACCTTCGAGGAAAGCTGTCCCGTTCAAGTCATGGGAAATGCAAGTCAATTCAAAAAATGATGCTGTTCTTTTGTCAAGAAATTATAATGATGATGTCTTAGAAAAAATTAAACCTAGTTTTGATATGACAGGGGTGAAGATTAATTTTCACATTATTTAATAATTCTATATAAAACAAAATGCACATGGAAGAAACCCTAGACACACCATAAGTGAGCTTCTTCTATGGATTAAAGTCATCCTCTATGATAAGGTGCTCCTTTAGTCATTGTGTTTCATGCCTTGTGTTTTCTTCTGTTTTTCAAGTTATCATCATCTAGACTCTAGGTGGTGAATTTAACTGTTACCTCCTGGGCCTGCCTATCATCATCACGTATAATTACCTCATTGCCATACTCCTCCATTTCTGTGTTGGCTTCTTCTTGCTCATCAAAAATTGTTTAGCCACCTATAAAGAGACCAAACTTACCATCTCCATCTCCATCAACTATTTTTTACTAAATTCACCATTGTTGATTGGATATCGACCACATGTACATCCCCATCATTCTTTCCCTCTTCGTTATCACGAAATCCTCCTCGTCCTCCTCCCTCCTCCACTTCATGATCATCGCCCTAGCTCTCCTCCTCTACCTCGTCATTGTACTCCTATCTTCACACACGTTCATGCTTCGCTTCTTATCGACAATTAACTACAACTAGATAGGTGGTTTATGTTATATTATAAGTTAGTTTAATATTTTGTAATATAAAAAAAATTACTAAGATGATGTAAATATTTTAAAAAAAATATAAAACTTAAATTATTGATTTAGCTGGGTTTAATAAACTCAAATAATTTAAATATTTTGAATAAAAAATACAATAACAATAAATAAACTTAAAAAATTAACAATGAAAAAAATTATAAAAAAACCTAACCCAAGCTCATTATGGTTAGTATGTTAAATCTGCAACTTTAACATAATACTAGGAACCCTATCCCTATAGAAAAAAAACTAAATAAAATTATGAAACCTAATTACTATACAAGCCAATAATAAAAGTTGAAATTAAAAATTTTTTTAAAAGAATCAATAAAAATATCATAATCATCCCGGATTAATATGACAACTACACTATCATTTTCGACTAACTATCTTTGCTAGTGGCCATTGAATCAGATATAATTTTGAATCATGAAGACAAAAAAAATCCAGAGTTTTCTTCTTTCTATCTTTGGAGAGCATTAACCATGGAAGATGAGAAGGAGGAGGTCTCATTGATGTCTCCATGCAGTGCAAACCAACAAAAATGGATGATCGTCAACTACACTTACCTCACTTGCCATGTACTCTAGAACAACAGCAGGAAGCTTAGTCCAGTCTCTTAATTTGTGTTGTGTGCAGAGGTAATAAAAGCTGGAAAGAAAGAGAATTTTTTTTAACTATTATTATTCAAAACTACATTGTATTATTTTTTTTGGTTCAAAATAACATCATTTTAAAATTCATCCAGCAACCCTAACCCTTAACAGGATCAGACTTTGAATTGGATCTGCGAACTATGCTCGTAATCTAAGGTTCATCGTCCAAATTCTTGCATGAACCGAGGAATTGCCTCGCAAAGTTTGTAAAATGTGGTAATTATACGAGCACCACATTTGTTATATATATCAGCCAATCTATGATGGACGGGGCTTGCTACAGCCTAAACTATTCATATTTTTCACGGGAGAAGGATTTATCTACAAAATTGACCGTGTAATCTGAAACAAACGCAGGTTTTTAGTATTCCTCACAACATCTACTATCTCTTGACATCACAAACTCCTCTATTATAAAGCTTGATACCTCACGTGGAACATGGCATCTATGATTAACAGCCAGCTAATCTCAATCAAAATTATGCTAACTGTCATCTTAATAATTGCAAATAAAATAAATAAAAACATTATTTTATCATTTAGGATCAAATGGGTGCTTGATAATGCCTATTGAATTTGCTTTATGTTCTTTTGCGGAACAAATGATTTAATTTAACTCTTTGTTATTTAATTTCTAAATTTTTCTAGGGTTTAGACCCAAGAATATTATCTAGTGGACATCCTATACCTTAACCATTAGTAGGGTATTTTAGATAACTTTTAGTTACTATCTTGAAATATAAAAACAAAAACAATTGGAAGTTTTCGTAGTCCTTTTTATTTTCAAAAAATATATAAATTTATTTCAAAAAATTATATATTTTTATATCCTTTTCCTTTTTCCGGCTCTTATATATGCTTTCGTTCTATCCTGATCTTAGAGTTACAATTTCATACCATCCATTCTCATCTTGGAGGCCAGCAATTAGGGTAGGGATATTATATACATACTGCACCCATATCCTATGGTGCCTGTTAGATTGAAAAAGATCATATCCTTGGACACTGCCACTTCTTTCTTCAAGCATTGAAAGAGATGGTAATTAAAAAAAGGAAAAGAAAAAAAAAATAGGAGTGGCAATCAAAGACGATTTCACCATGCATAAAATCAACCATGAAAGACGAAAGTCTAGTGAACCTGGAACACGAGTGATCTTGCATTACACATGCTGCATGACAATGTTGCGAGCCTGGAACCCACTCCCATCCGAATGCAATGTCAATTCGTAAATAACGTCAACAAACAAAGGTCTAGGAAAAAAAGAAAAAGAAGAGGTGAAAAACAAGAGAAGGGCTTGCACCAAGGGTGTGAACATTGTGTGATATAATTCTTTTTAAACCCCACGAGATCATTTACATTTGCTACTCCAATTTATCATCTTCAACCATCATTAACTTAGGTGAACAAGTAGAAGAATTCTATTACATCGAACAAAATCAAGAAACTAAACAAATGGAGAAGTAGGGATGTAATATGAGTGGCAAATTCGGGCTAAAGAGAAAGAAACGGGCAAAAATAAGTAATTACGCTGCAGTGGTTACTAAGATGAACAACACCCTTTTTTAGTTTCTGCATTGCCTTCTTGATTCCCATCTCCCTGTAAAACCACGGTCTTTCCGTTTCCCAGCTCAGGAGCACCTGGTTTATTGAGTTCTTGTGATAATATAACTTTCCGGCTTAATATATTGTAGATCTCTTTAACAACTGTCTGAAAGGCAGCAGCAACGTTGGAGGAATCGAGTGCTGAAGTTTCCATGAAGAACAAACCCTGTGCTTCAGCCAAGTCCTTGCCTTCCACTGTTGGTACCTCTCTGGCATCCTTGAGATCGGACTTATTCCCGACAAGTATTGTTACTACATTCATGTCAGAGTGAGCTGTCCAACAAAAACCAATACAAAATCAATCTTCCATCTGAAAGGAAAAGTGTCAAAATATATGTTGCAGGCATTGCGGTTCAAACAACAAACTGGTCTGCAAAGTGCCCTCATCATAATTTTACTTCAAAGACTATCAAACCAGATATCAAATCAGTCAGTACAGAAAAGGAAATGGAAGGATTTAAATAATTAGCAAAAGTTGTAATGAAACTTACTGTGAAGTTCGTTAAGCCATCTGCCAACGCTATCAAATGTTTGGCGCCTACTGATGTCATAAACGAGAAGAGCTCCAACTGCACCTCTGTAGTATGCAGATGTTACAGCCCGAAATCGCTCCTGACCTGCTGTGTCCCAGATCTGTGCTTTAATTTCCTTTCCGTTAATATCCATCTTTTGGGTTTGGAACTCTACCCCTATTGTAGACTTTGAATTGGGGTAGAATTCATCTCTAGCAAATCTTGCAAGCAAATTTGATTTCCCAACAGCTGAGTCGCCAATTAAAACAATCTTGAAAAGGTAATCTTCTGCTTTGTCATCCTCAGAGTAAAAGGCCATTTTTCAACTTTCACAGAATGGCAAATCTATAGAAGCATGTCTGTTGCTGGAGAACAACTGGTTGGAAACAAGCCAACAATGCCAATAATGACTAGCCTTCCATAGGGCAGCTCTCTTCAGGGGAGCTTAATATTTACCTCAGAAGAACCAGAAGCTCCCCTGTACAAGATGAGGAAATGGAATTAGAATATCCAAGAATGAGGGCAGAGTACAAAGGAAAGTTGATAGGCAGGGAAAGTAAAACAGGACAAGGGTCACTGTTGAGAAATTAATTAGAAGAACATGTTGGAACCCAAGGAAATATCTATCTTCCGAAGCTAAAGTTGGCGGGCCTCATAAAAGTGTAACAAGTAACTTCTACTCCATCCTCTGCTTTCTACCGCTTGTGTAATTCTATCAGGTGCTTTTTCTTTGTGGAATCCAGAATTTCTCTTCAAAATGAGGATTACCGTCCCTGCAATATCAATAAAGCATCAGCATCTAATTTTCCATAGCTTGACAGAAAGTAACCACTGTAGACAGAAACTAAAGAGAAGAAGAGATCAAGTGCAATGTAACCAGAAGCTTAAAATTTTTAAAGCAACCCTTTCTCCCCTAACATTAAAGCTAACTCTATCGGCCTCCATTTTTTTTCATAGCATGGATTTCTGTCTCCTTCATCCCTTTTGTTTGACCCTAGAAGCAGCCTTTCTCCCCCTATATTAACCTAACTTCAGCCCATCTCTTGTTTCAATCTTCCAAACTCACCACAGGACTGCACAATGGTGGCCAGATCCTTCCTGCACTCTACCGAATAAATTTACATCGACTTAACAGATTATGATCTCGAAACATCATAATAGCCATGGATATGACAATTGGAGATCAGAAGAGAATGAGTAGAAAACAATTCAAATAAAAAAAGAAAATTACTGTCTTTTTTTCTGGACTAGTTGCACTAGCATTAATATACTTCCCCACCGAAATCTGGATGCCGCTCCTGTAACTTATCACTCAAAGGTTACTGCTTCCTCGTACCTACTTCTCTTCTACCCTATGTTTCCCAAATAGCCAAAGAATTATATGCACTGTCTATCACTCTAAAAAAGCTAATTGCTTCCATTCATCTAAAGTCATAAATACAACACTAACACAAACAAACCAAATTGCCATGGTATACAATATAAAGCTGAATGGCATCCTCAAACATGCAATTATGCAAACTAGACAAGCCTAAGATCCAAAATACGGAGCAAGAAGGAAAGTAAACCTCTAGACTACAGAGGCCTATATCTACACATGAAGCAAGAAACACATAGCCTAACTCATGCATCACATAAAATCCAACAAAAACTTCAATCATTGTCCTAATTCACAGCACATTCTGAACATCTCAATGTAGAACACTACACAGACAAGCGCCGTAATGCTTTCCAATCCTGTCAAATTGTAAACAACAAGCACTACAAGCTGCACATAAAGTCAACAATTTTATGCAGTGATGTTCATAGTCAACAAAAGCAGTCATTACAAGAAAAAACCATGGAAAACTAAGCTGTAAACATGATCTCCTTAAGTTTAAACAAAAACCCATTAAGGATTAAACCATTTTGAACCCAAAAAAACAACATTTTAACAAATTACAGATCATGTAATAATAAAAGGAATGCAATCTTTCACCATGTTTTTGAATTTTATTGAGACCCCGGACGGAAATTTAACAAAAAACGAAGAGCCCTTAATTCTTCAAGCAACTAACTACAAATTAATAAAGCACAAAAAATTAAACATAAAAATTAATAGTCAACAAAAAGAATAACAAAAAAGTACCTTTTTTGATGGGCTCCGAAAATCAAATAACGAAACCGAATAGCGAAATGGATCTTGTGGGGCATTTAGAAAATTAAATGATTTAATAATGGCGTTTTTTACTTGAAAAACGAAACGATTTTAGACAGAGAAGCAGAACACAGCTAGTCACAGGAAGAGAGAGAGGTTTCTTTCTTTTTCTTTATTTTTTCTCAATGTGTCTGTCTGGTTTTAAGCCGTTCAAGCCAAGTAATTGATGAGCTAATAATAATAATAATAATAAACAGGGATGGTTTTTTTTTTTTGGGTACTTGACATCTGTAATAATTATTTTTTAAAATATTTTTTAATTTAAAATATAAAAAATAATATTTTTATTTTAAAAAAATTATATTTAACATCAATATAAAAAAATAAAAATATTACTTTTAAATAAAAATATTTTTAAAAAAACCTGAGTTCCATTGCAACTCTCAAGCAACATCTTTTTCATGTTTAAATTGTGCCATGGAATTTATTTATTTTTATTATTGATACATGTCTTTTATAGGATCAAAGGAAGAAGTTTAATTTTAATGTATAGAAGTTCAAGGCTTGAGTTTCATTACTAAGTATTTGATTACTGAAAATAAGGGCAAAAATAAATAAAAATATAAAATTAATTTACTAATATAGTAAATTTTTATACTTTTAAAAGAGACAGTAAAAAGAGGAATGTTTTTGTTTTCTATCCCGAATACACTAACCAAATTCTATCCTATTTTTTTACTAATATAGTAACTCCATTCACATACGTAGCATTATGTTTTTTTATATATTTTATTTTCTAGAGTAATAGGGTTCATGAATCACATGTCAGTAATTTTATTTTTATTTTTTTGGTTAATTTCCAAATTTGTTTTACGACATGTTTTATAAAAAAGAAATGTTTGACTTGGACATGTACAAGCTACCTTTAGAATAACTCATAATGGTAACATAAGAAAAGATAGTGTATTTAGAGTTTTTTTTTAAAACATAACATATATAAAAAAAATATTTTTCAAACTAGAATACATGTAAAATTCCTAAACTAACATAATTTAACTAGATATGTAGGTTTTACAGGGACAACTTGAGACACAAAGGTCTCTCACGCCAAAAAAGAGTTCTCCTTTTCGTTTTGCATGCTCAATTCTTCATTTAATCCGTCAATAGTTAACTTTAATTCTACTATTATGATAATTTCATCCATTATTTTTGTATATATATTTTTTAAATAAAGTTAATGTTTATTTTTTAATGCAATTGCTAAAAAAAAAGGTTAATTTTTTTCCAAAAGTTGTTTTTTCCCACTTAAATAAAAATAAATTTAATTGATGAAATGATTATAAGTTAACTAAATATAAAAATAAGGGAATAAATCAAACTATAAGAAGAGAAGAAAGGAAATGTAATAGGATGGCACAGAAACAAGAGTACGAGAGAGAAAATAAAAAAGAAAATAAACAAAAATAAAGATTTTATAGACATGACAAATAACAAAACTCTAATTATAACATTTTTAATATCATTAAAAAATTCTTAATGAGTCAATCTAGTGATAAAACAAAAAAAAAAGCCAAAGTTAAAAGTAAATCATATATATCACCTAAAAGATAATGATATACTTATTTACTAGCATGTGTAACATACAAGCTAACCATTTATTTTTTTGTTTTTGTGTGTTTTTAGCCATGTCACACTTTAAAAAAAAATATAATAGAATGGCATAATAATAAAAGAAAATTGTAATAAAATGACATAATAACAAGAGTACGAGAGAAAAAAAAGAAGAAGAAATGTTATAGACATAACAAAACTATGATTATAATATTTTTAATATTATTAAAAAATCAATAAAATAATTTATAGATATAAAATAAAGTTAACCTTGAAGTTAAAAGTAAGTCATATGCACCACCTAAAAGGTAATAATATATTTACTTGCTAGCATGTGTAATACATACATAAGTTACAGAAATTTTTTTATGTTTATCTTGTGTTTTATGCATGTTAAATAAAAAAATAATTAAAAGATGTATATGTGATTTTAGTACGTCCCCGAGTTATAAGGATAAGATCTGCACAACCAATTAAACTATATTATTTTAAAAATTATATTTTTTTAGTTCTTCGTGGAAAAGTTTTTCTTTACTATGTTAATTTAAAAGGGAAAAAAAACTTGTGTAATTTTTATGATTTATTATTATGTTATTAAAGAACTTAAATTGATTTTTATGATTTGCTATTGTGTTACTGGAGAACTAAAATTAAATACAAATATTCATTTAAATGACATTTTATGTAAAATATTTTCAGGGTGGAAAATCTTTTGCAATATTTAGTATGTAATGATATAAAATTTATTATAATAGTAAAATAATGATAGCATTTATAGCTATGATATAAGGTGATGATGATGATAATAATATTTCAGATAAAAAAAAAAAAAAAGAAATGACACTAAGGTTATGAAGTGTGATAATGATTGTAGTAGTGTATAGTAATGAAAGTACTGATAGTTATTATAAAATGATGATAGGATAGTTGCAATAATAGAGATAATGATTGTAATATGGAATACTGATAGAAATAATGATAATAAGATGATTGTAATATTAATATCAATAATATTTGTTAATAATATTGAATGATATTACAAGTAAATTATTATTTATAAAATATTTTATGAGATTTTATAAATTATGAATTAAATTAAAAAATTGATCAAAAAATATTTTAAAAAATCAAATACAATTTTTTTTATAAAATAACCACTCTCTTATTTGATTTGGTATAGTATTGAGTTCATAAAATTTACCACAAAAATATTCTTTATCCAATAAAAAAATTATCCAAACCTATTTTGAATTTTATATTTTTATCAAGGCTTTTTTTTTTCAAGGTATTCATGGACAGCCAAAGAGTTTTTTTTTTTTCATAATGTCTAGAGTTGTCCTTATCTCCCTATTAAAAATTGAAGTTTATAGATATTTCTCATAACAATTAATATATTCTTATGAAAAAGAAAATGAGATAAAACTCCGAATATATTTAATAATTTCTCGACAGATATATCATGAAATCTTGCCAACTCTTCAACCGATGAATCTTGTGCCTAAATCCATAGAGGTAACCTAGCCCAAGAGATTATATTGTTTGCACTAATCAAGTTAAATTATTTATAAGACAATTTTAAAATGAGTTTATTTTCTTATAAAACATGAAAGATATGGTTACCTGTTTCATCTCCTCTCGAAACACAACTAAGCTCTATCTAGGTTTTCAAAACTTAACAAGGTTCAAAACTGAAAGAAAATCCCCATGGATACGTAAAGAAATATTCTTAAATAATATATACGAACTGATACGACAATATTATTTTTAATTGTTAAAAAGTAAAATAAAAATACAAAATGATCATCATTGTCAGTATATAGCTAGGTTGTCATTTGCAAAGACATGTAAATTTTACTTGGTGAGACTTTGCTGTCAACATATTCATTATCGATGTAACCATCACTATAAAACAAGAAAAGAGAGGATTCTTGCATCTTATAAGGGGCCATAGTCAGTCTCACTGCATAAAGTCATAAATATTCTGGGTTATTTTTAGGCTTCGATTGTGAACCGTTACCATCAAGCTATCTGTTGTCGCTGTTGTTATCACTGAAAACAATTGAAGCCATGGCCTCTCACTGCCATGTTTTTAATGGGCCACAAATTATTATCATCCCCGATACCTTACACACTTGCATTCATTCGTATTATTCTCGAGGGTTAAGTCGAATAGTAAATCAGAATATTCCTCATCTTATCATTTACGTGATCTTCGTTCATCATCTCGTAACAAAAAACACGAAAGGAAGATAGTAAAAATGAGAATGCAAATTAAACGCAACCTGAAGATCATTTTAATATATCAGAGATGTGTTGAAAAACACCCTTAAAACGAAAACCACGTAAAAAGAGCATTCACACATTCCTCCATTGATTTTCATTTATGATTTGCAGTGCTGCCGGATCCAGCTGCTAGCTAGCTAGGGTAAGGTAGACTGGCAGACAGATATACCATACTCAATTAATGGTACTGATATTGCATTGTCAATTCTTGAGAAATTAAGGCGTGGCAGAAGGGTTGTGAAAGCTTGCAGTTAGGTATCGGAGGCATGCAGAAGAAGGACCCCGCCTTCCATATGCTGCTGCACGGCTTCAGAAAAACCTGTGAAGTGCAGGATAGGCCATGTCTTTGAGGTGAATGCCACAGCTTTTTAAAATGCTTGATTTGACTATTCAGGAGTTTTGTACAGTTGGTAGAAGTTTCTTTCCCTGTTTCCGCTAGGGATGTTAACTGTTTTTTATTTAATTTTGAAAAACAAAATTAAATTAATTGTTTTAATATTTTTTTATTGTAATGATATGTTAATGCAAAAA